GCACGGGCTTAGTTGCTCCGCGGCATGTGGGATCTTCCCGGACCAGGGCTCAAACCCGTGTCCCCTGCGCTGGCAGGCGGATTCTTAACCACTGCGCCACCAGGGAAGCCTGATTTGCCTTTTCTTAAATCTCACATAACTGGATTCACACAGTAGGTACTATTTGGGGCTGCCTTCTTCTACTCAATCAATTCTTACACGTGTCTTCAATGTGTTCCTTTGCACGGGCAAAAGCAGTATTTTATCGTATTCTATATCCCAGTTTGTCTACCTGTTCACCTGCTGATGGACATCTGAGATGTTTCCAGTTTGGGCCTCTTATGAATAAAGCTGTTAGGAACACTCTTGTACAAAGTAAAGTAATTATATGTTTTAAATTATGTTTTAGGTAGTGCTGCTTAACTAAGAGAGATGAACACATTAAAACATCAGCACTTCCATTCTTCCTTTCCTCTTCCCTCCCTCAGGTCTAATTTTTTCTTAGGATTATCATTGTTTTTACATTATCAAGTTTTAAAATTCATATTCATTCTGTTACTATGATTCCCAAAGATTTTTGAATGTATGTGGATTTTTCTCACCCCTGGATCTTTACCACAGAGTCTCTGTTACTGGGATCTGCGCTAGATTCATCCCTTAATTATCTTGATATCACTTGTCAAGTGGTTTGGTTGTGATGGGTCCTGTGTTCTCTGAGATCCTTCATGTTTGAAAATGTGTGTTGGTTGTCCTTATGCTCACAGAACAGCTTAGCTGTGCACAATATTCTTGGGTCCACCCTCCTCTCAGGACCATGCAAATGTGGATGACATCAACTGGTTGTTCTGGAGAAGTCTAAAGACAGCCCCATTTTCCCCTTATTGTTAATTTGCATTTTCTGTCTGTAGGACTGAACAATTATTTCTTTAAGCTTAAGTTCAACTAGATTAATTAATTAAAGTTCCTAGGTAACGAGCATTCTGCATCAAATTACCCTGGAGCTCAGACTGCTCTTCCAATGTATAGATTAAATTTTTCCTCAGTTAGGTAAAATTTTCTTATATTATGTCATGAATATATCTTCTGTTTTATTTGTTAGGTTCTCTATTTTAAGGATACTAATTATCCTTATGTTGTATCATCCTTGTCTTCCATAACTATTAGCTCCTCTCTAATCACTTCATCCTTTATCTTTTTCATTAGCATTTTCTTCACCTCAAGCTTTTCTTCTATGTCATTAATTTTATTTTGAACATTATCTACTCTGTTTCTTAGAGTTTATAATTTATCTTTAGTCGCATGATGATGTGAGTTGGTGCCCAATGTGTTCCTTTAGGTCTGTGATCTCCTAGGAGGTTGTGAGAAACTCCTTTATGTTCCTTAATTTTGTTTTCTTCTATGTACAGTTTTTCCATTCTCTCTCTTTCCTCTTTGCTTTTCTTTTTATTCATGTTCATACTTGCATAACTCTTCAAGTGTCCTGTTTGCTGTAATATACTGTAGATAAAATCTTGACTCTCCAATCCAAGATTAGTTTGATTTAACCTCTGAACTACAGTTTGAGGCCAATGTATTTCATTCTACTCTTTCGTACCCTGAGACAGACTGGAGCAGAGGAGGGAGTTTAGCTGACGAGATGGCAAACTCTGTTAAAATCCTTGGGCTCTGCTCTTTCTTTTAGGATTCTGTTAAATTCCTCATTCTAGAATCTACTCTACCTAATTGGAGGTAGATCTCCTTCCCACGTGGAGATAACTCTCAGGCTTTGTATCATTTCTCCGCTGTAGTCCCAGAATCTCTGCCTTTTAAGGGATGCAGACCCTTTTTCACCCACTTCTCCACAGCAGTCATTTCCAAGATTCTGGTCAGAACGAGGAAGAGATCAGCATTTTAATCCAGTTTGTTTCTTTCCAGATTTGGAAATACAAGTGAACAACCTCAGGATTTTGGTGACTTGACAGCAGGGCTTCTGAAGCCCTGGTGGTCAGGGTTAGAGCTGAGCCGAGCTGCCCCTCTGCCGCACTCCAAAATCCTCCCCTTTTCTTGGATCAGGTTTTGAAGTTTATTGAATTATGTTATGCCACTGAGATCGCTGATAGTCACTTTCAAAGGGGCTGGTTTAAAATTTTTTTCCAATATTGTAGGTATTATGAGAAGACAGTTTAGTGAAACCTTAATGAAGTTGAATAATGCTGCCTGTCCAAAGTCCTGGGCTCATATTTTCTTGTTGCCCACCAGTGATGCAAGACGAAGACATTTCATTCTGTCACTGGTTCAACTCAGAGTTCACAATAGGGTGCTCACTGTGGCCTGACAAGGGACCAGCACGCCCTTGAAGTGTCCCCCAAACGTATCTTGTTGCCTAGGGAGGGGGCTATTACTTTAACCGTTTACATCTGTCACTAAAGACGTATCTCTTTCCCAATCTGGGCTCCCCAGAAATCAATATTCTAATTAGAAAACAGTAGCTAATCTGGCTAAATGCTAATAAATGAGAGTTGTGATTTATCTAGCAACAGGGGAACAGCTCAGCATTAAGAATTAAAAGGTCTGTAGAGGAGAGAAGCTCCTTTTTTTCCTTACTCTTCCCTTTGGCTGATTGGGTTCAGCTGTATGCTATAAATAACACTTCTAATTAATGGCTGTCTGTTTGAAAATCAGTCATCAGAACCATAATTTCGGAACTTTTACCTCTGAGATTCATTGCTCTACCCTATTTCTCAATGATAAGGATAAGAATCTGGTAATGTGAGTTAAAGCTGAATCTACCTACTCACAAACACCAAACCACATCATAGCCTCTACCAAGGCACTCTTCAGGCCGCACTATAATAGATGCAGATGTAAATAATCAATTCAACTGCAAGGAGAATTCTTGATCATGAGTAGAACCAAAATTGTTGTCTAAACCCTGCTGCACTCCAGTCATTTCATGGAGTTACAGGATAAAGTCAAAGTTAATCTCAAAGGAAGGAGTTTGCAATTAGTTGAATGGGGTCCTTCAGTAATCTCTAACGGATTAATTTTTTTCTACATTAAACAAATTAACTGGGTAGTTACCTTCCCTTTAACCTAACTGGACGGAGTCAAAGGGGAAACATAGAGGTTGCTTTTGCACATCTTAAGTGTTTTCTTCTAGTAGTTTCTACGTCGTCCAACATTGCCTACTTACATGATTCTTGCAGAAGGTCCCTGAAGTTACCATATTTCTTCATGACACCAAGCAATTATTCAAATTCTCTCTACCATGTAGATAACCTTTTCCGGACCTCAGCCCCTCCAGACCTAGCTTTCATGTCATTTTCTCTATCCAGCCCACAACCGTCACCACGCCCTCCAATCTAATAAAACTGACTACTCCTTCTGTTGGGACCCAGCTCTCCCTGTACATCTTTTCTGCATTAATATTGATAACATTTGCTTCTGCTTGGTGAGTTTTCGACCATCTCTTTTCACAGAGAAGATCTTACTCTTACTCAGGTGTGCAATGCCTATACGCTTGTTGAATATACAGCGGATTATTCAACAGCTATTGAGCACCTGCTCTTTGCCAATTCTTGTTAGAAGTCGGAAAGGCATCGATTTTTATCTCTGTTCTCAATGTACTCACGACCCACTGGGGAGGATAGACTTTTATAAAAACTAAACTCAGCAAGCCTAAGAGAGGGGTCTGGGCAAGTGCTGGGGGTGGGCTGTTAATTAGCAAGGCCATGAACATAGAAAAATCACCATATTTTAACATCTCTTCTATGGTTGTCATAATCCAAACACACCTGCTTCAATCGTATGTTCTACATTGCTTACTAATGTCTTTTCAGTGTAGTCTGAACCTATGCTTCTCAAACTAATGTGCACAAAAATCACCTGGGGATTTTGTTAAAAGGCGGGCTCTGATTTAGTGGGTCTGGGGAGGAGCCTGAGAGTCTGCATTTCCAGCCAGTTCCCGGGCATTCCACTGCTGCTGGTCCACAGACCACATGTTGAAGAGCAAGTCTATAAACCAGTGTCATGTCAACATATAAACATTGTTAAAGTGCCATCAGTTTTTGGAAGCACTCCCAATGCTCCCCACCTAGAAATTCTTCTGACTGTAATTAAACATAATGAAAGCTACAGCGAGAGAAGTAAGACTCAGCAGTGACCCCCAAGAAACTGACAGGATGCCTTGAAACTGTTTATTCCTGCCCCGTTTTATTGTCTAAACACGGAAGATTCCTGCACTTGAGGTCTGCTGCTACCAAATGACTGTGGTCTGAACGTGTAGCCAGGTTTCCCCAAATATTCGACTGCCATTCTTTGCTTAAGTCTCCCCTACATTTAAACTATAATACCCCAGGCCCTTTATGTATTATAACTGGAGATATCTTTTAACAAAATTATGCAACTTTAATCACCTTAAGCAGTCATAAAGAAAGTACTTCTGTAATGCAACTTCTTAAAAAACAGACTCTGCAAGGCACCCATGGGAATCTAATTTCTTATTAATCCTTAATGGTGCCTGTGACAGCATCTGCTTACTTTTTCAATTTATTGGAGTCTGCCACTCATCCTCAAAGTCAAAACTCGTTAGACCATGAGACTCTGGGCCCCCACTCTAACGTCTTCTGTCATTTGCCAGCTTTTGACTCTCCTTCTTCCAAGACAAGATCCCCTGAGCTGTGTCTTCTTTTGCAGGCCTTCTCCCTCTCTTCCTCACACATTGTCCAGCTCTATTCCAACCAGACCAAGGGCCCTGTGTGTATCTTCTCCCAAGCACGTGAGAAAACATGACAACTCTTCCTGCCTGCTTTTCAACACCACCTTACGACAATCATACGCTATATAACAGGGAGTCTTGGTTATTTGGTTTCCCCTCACACTCTCATCATCACATCACTTTCCCTGACAAATAACAGTGAACTGAACAGAAGCGGAACTGTTTTCAGCATGCACTGGAAACCTTAGCTTGCCCAGTGTCAGAGTCTGGAGAGGAGTCTTCTAAATGACCTTGACCCCTTCTCGCCTCTCACGGTCTCATTTAGATTAATGCCAAGGATGATGAAGGCGTCATCGCTGGATCCTGGGACAATGTCTATGCTTATGGCATCCCCCCATCAGCCTGGACTGGAAGTGTTGACATCCTGTTGGAATACAGGAGTTCTGAGAATCCAGTCCGCTATGGTCAGTGCTGGGTTTTTGCTGGTGTCTTTAACACATGTAAGTATCCAGTTGAGTAATATATTTTTAATGCAAAGGAAATTTCACCTTAAGACATCTTATCTATAACCTGGCAAAGCAACCTAGCAAGCTCTGTTGGACCTATAGAATTTGTGGGTGGCTATTCTGGGATGCAGCCAATGCATAATTAAATTGTACTTGGCCAAATATGCTCATAGTTTCTCTTTGACTGCCGAAGCTTTATAGAAAGAATGATGGACTATTTCCTACATAATCCATCGTTCAATACTCAGAGAAATGGAGCATCTCCGGGGCCACGTAAGGATGTGAGGGAAAGGCTATGCCGTTTTATTTCTTAGTAATCCCCACATTTTAAAAGGCTCAGTCAGCAAAATTTTAAATAATAAGCTATGTACCGCTTGCTATTGAGCAGTTTTGTAAATATGCTTATTTGCTTACTGTTTATCACTGAGAATTTTCTAAACATACCCACTTAGTTTTTACCCCAGCTATGGAAGGGACTGTGGCAGGTGGGCTCATCTTCATTCTTGTATGAGTCTCAATGCCCCTGAGCAATTAGATACCAGAACTTAATGAACGATCTGTACTCCCCAGCTTCCCCTTTTGCCTTTAATCCACCCAATATCCAATCCATAGAGGAAAACATATGGGAACAGAATTGTTCTCTTCAGCCTCATGCATCATTTTTCAATATGGCATTTGTCTGTCCCGGCCCAGACAATGTTATTGTGAATTCAGTGGGTATTTTTATTTTTTTATTTATTTATTTATTTATTTTTTTTTTTTCTTGCGTTACGCGGGCCTCTCACTGTTGTGGCCTCTCCCATTTGCGGAGCACAGGCTCCGGACGCGCAGGCCCAGCGGCCACGGCTCACGGGCCCAGCCGCTCCGCGGCACGTGGGATCCTCCCGAAACGGGGCACGAACCCGCGTCTCCTGCATCGGCAGGCGGACTCTCAAGCACTGCGCCACCAGGGAAGCCCTTGTGGGTATTTTTAAAAAACATTTATTTCAGTATGTCTTCATCATTGGTAATGATTTTCATTAACATGCCATTTCTACAGCCCTGTAAAAAAACAAAACAAAACATTAAGTTCAAGTCAAAGTGGCCTTTCTGCCGGCTCATTAATAAAGACTGTTTTACCCAGTTAGCATGCTTTTTAATCAGAAAAATCAAGGAGGATCTGGAGGCTGGAAGCCAGGATGAGACCATTTTTTTATAAATGATTATGAAGCCTGTCAGTTTCAGCTCAAAGTTCTGACCGTCTAAGAATTAGTCAGAGATCCAAGTGGAAAGAAATCATAAGTTTGGGTTGTGTGTTTTGTTTCTCCATGGCGTCAAACTGGATAAGATTATTTTCTTAGCCATTTGTGTATACCCAAGGGCTAAAGGAATATATATTTCCTGGGAGCAATGAACGGCATTGTAGCCAATGTGTCAGTGTCCTAGAAGGGCTGGCCTCTCAAGTTCCACATGGAAACCTGAACTTCACGAAGGGCTACCATTTGGAGGTAGGCCCCCTCCCTCATGGCTCCCAAGCCAAGTCTAAGTACAGGGTGCTCAGTAGAGGCAGCCTCTCTTATGAAATGATCCCAGGAAAAGAGAAAGGACTCCCCACGTCCTCCTGATGTCTGCAGTTTCACTCTCCCGGTGTAATTCCTTTAGGTTTAGAACCAGATAAAATAGTAAACACCTTCCATTCACGTATGCCTTTTGTATAAAAGGGTCCTCGGATCTCTTCCTGAACACAGGCTTCGGTGATAAGAAAAGGCAGAGGCCCAACGTGGGATGTCACCGTGAGGGTAAACCTGAAAAGGAAATTTGGAGGGAAGGAGGCACTGGTGCCCCCATGTCAGACTTCACCTGTCTTAAAATTATGAGTTCGGAAGATTCTGTAATCACGTGAATTAGTGTTAAGCTAGAAATACAACTAGAGTGTCAATTATTTCTGTGGTAAAACTGTAGCAAGTGTAGGGGCTGTAAATCCATAGAGGAAGATGGAAGTGAGAGGCGGGTGGTGGCTGCCATCGGTGACGTTTGGGGTGTTAAGATTAAGTCGCTGACATATACGCGCCACTATATATACAACAGATATCTAATATGGACCTGCTGTATAGCACAGGGAGCTCTGCTCAATACTCTGTAATGACCTGCGTGGGAAAAGAATCTAGAAGAGAGTGGATACATGTATCTGTATAACTGATTCACTTTGCTACACAGCAGAAACTAACACCTCATTGTAAACCAACTACACTCCAATAAATATTAATTAAAAAATAAGATTCAGTCATTTAATGAGGACCCTTGAGTCTCTACCAGATTCAAGTTTGGACTTCCAAGGTTGTTCTATTGAAGGAGGTGGATAGTCTTCGGTTAAAAATGCTAAACAATTCTGAGAGGAAAAAAAAAAAGGGGGAAGGCAACTCATTAATCTTAAAAGTGTCAGCTGAATTATTTTCAATGAGCCCTGAGGTCTGGCATCCTGGCAGCCAGGGAGGGCATTTGGATTAAGTTTAATCAATAGGTGCATATACGGCAAGAGATGCATCCAGGAAATTTATTATCTAATGATTAAAATGAATCTGTGCTGTCACCTTCCACCAAGTGTCACAAGAGCATGTTCCAGCCGGGAAAGCAAACCGCACTGAGGGTCTGCTTGGTAAACTCCTAACTTCCTATTAGCTGAGGTTTTTAAATTTTATTTTCAGAAGCTTTAGTCCATTAGCTGGACTAAAATAATCCTACTTTGATGATCGTATGATTAGCAACTAAACAACTGGAAGCCTGTTCCTGGGATCCCATTCCCACTGGCTTCGTTTGGTGCCAACTGCAGTTTGTATGATCAGGCAGCGAGGCTTCTCTCTGCAGCCCTGATCCTTGACGATAGGCCCCCTTCCTCAGTGTGGGACATTTGAGAACCACATGTGTCCATGTTGGTACAGAAGAAGGCCCCTTCTGAGAAGGGCTTGTTCACTCTGTATTTATTAGATCTTGGTGATGTGTTTAGTTGTGGTCCATCTTTCTTTCCTGCAGTTTTGCGATGCCTCGGGATACCAGCGAGAGTCGTCACCAACTATTTCTCAGCCCATGATAACAATGCCAATCTGCAGTTGGACATCTTCCTGGAAGAAGATGGGAATGTGAACTCCAAACTCACCAAGGATTCAGTGTGGTGAGTTTGATTTACAAGGGCATTTGCTGATATCAAATTGAAGTGACATACATTTACCAGGAGACAGAGTCGGTCTAATGTTTCTTTCTGTTCTACTTTGAGGAGTATTCGATACCATAGGCAGAAATGTCTGATTGTCAGAGATTGTTTTTAGCTAATGAATGAGAAATGTTACTGAACAGGCAGTTTGGGCTTCGTATAATAGAGATCGATCATCCCATTACGGCAGCAACCACTGGAAAAGGCCATGGTTTTAGTGGCCAGAGCCTATACTAGCTCCTCTCTGCCTTAGTATATGACTATTAAGGTGAATGGCAGAGACACAGGAGCCAAGCATTCTCTACTCTAAGAGTAAGATGGCCAGCGTTTACTGAGCACTTACTGTGTACCAGTCCCTGCGTGAGCATGATCTTATCTAAGCTTTTTAAATTTTATAAGGTGGGTGCTTATTAATATTCCATTTACAGATGAGGAAACTGAGGCAACAGAGAGGTTAAAATAATTTTCTCAAGGTCATACATCTGGTAAGCTAAGAATAAAACCCAAGAGCATCTGAGACTAAACCACACCCCCCCCCTTTTTTTTTTTGGCCTTTGCAATAAAGGATTTTTCTTTGAATGTAAAGATGTGGTTCTCCCAATCTGTGACCTCATCTTTCATTCAGAGAAAGAAGTGGAAATAAAACTGAAATTATTACCAAATACCAACCACACAGTTTTTTCACTGCCCTGAACGGCTATATCACAAGCTGGCTGCAGGGAGTTTAGGATTCCAAAGAAATTTATTTTTTCCATTGGGACCCACTCAGTCCAAAACAATATTCTTGTTTTATTCTTGTCCAAAAGAGGGGGAAAAAAAATCCCGAGAGTCCAAATGTAAAGGATATTGACAAAGGTCTGTATGGGAGGGAAATTGCCAGGCGTTGAACTCAGTGAAATCTGGCTCAGTGGAACGAAAAATGTGTCTCCTAGAGTGGCTCTTTAGAAGCAGTAAAGCTAAAACACTGTCGGTTGTAAAAGCATCCAGATGGGGATGGTAGGAAGTTATAAGCTCATTTTAAGAGAAATTAAAAGTTAGAAATGTCTTAACTGCCCCATGTTACAGGAATGGCACACACTTGTAGGGGCGGTATTAACTCCGCAGTGCCGGTAAACGCTCATTCGAGAATGTGGAGAGAAGGAAAGCGCTGAACCAGTAGCAAAGCACTACTGTGAATAAAAAACACTGCAGTCCATCTGAAGGCAAAGAGCTGAGCAATGACAAGCTAGCGGCTATAGCCAAGACAACGCCTCACCCCTGTAAACTGAAAGGCACGTTGGAGCACCATTTAAGCCCTTGGAATTACAGCACAGCAGCCCTGCATGTATATGGAACGACAAAACCAGACCCAAATAGCCACCCCCTAAGCCTGCTGTGACAGCCAAAAATGGCAAAATAAGGATTACTTGGCATCCTGCACTGCTCACCTCTTCTTTACACACCCCGCCGCCCTGCGCGCACACACACACACACTCACTCACTTGATGCCCTTGAAGCCAGCTGCCGCTCAAAATTATTCCTCCCGATTCCTTGATCCGAAGGCCTCCCACCATAAATCCCCACGGGCACCCCAGCAAATAACCTCATGAGGCTGCCCCTCACCAAATTGCTACAAAAGTGTGAAGCTGATAAGACCTTGTTCTCGGTAACCCTTTCCTCTGTCAGCTCTCTGCTCCGAATTCCTTTCCCTGTTTCTATCGCCCTTGTCCATTCGTTGTCTTCCCCAAATATCCCATCACCCTGGGACCATGTTTCCTGGTCCGGGGCCCTGCTCCTCACAGCCAGACCACTGCCCCAGTCTTCTCGTCTTCCCTTTGCTTGGCTCACAGAGGGTGGCTGACGGTCTGACTAACTGAATGGGACACACCAGACCGTGGAGCACAGGGATTAGAGGGCTCCGTTGGGTCTGGGTCATGCACCAAGCAGCTGTGTGACCTTGGGCAAGGCACAACCTCTCTGTGCCTCTCTTTCGTCCTCTAAAGTGGAGATGACAAAATTGCCAAGCATAACAGATGCCTAATGACTGTTAGCTGCTGTTATTGTGTTCATTACTAGTCACACAGCTGGAATTTCTTGGAGGCAATATGCTGCCATCAAGCTAAGCACGCTGAAGCAGTCGGAAGAGGGGTGCCCAGTGTCCTTAGATGACTGTGCTATTGCTGTCACTTTGGGGCATTTTAAAAACAAAAGCAGAAACCTTGCCTCCTCAGTGCAAACACCAGTGAACCCTAGAAGTTACAGTTTCCAGAAAACCAAAAGTATTTCTAAGCCCCTCCCTGACTGAGGGGGCTGGTGAAGGCTGTCCCTGGACACATCCACCAGTTTATGGTCACCACAGCCGCCCCCCACGTCAAGCTCTGTTTTGGGCAGTCACTGGCTGTGTGACCTTGAGAAAATGGCTTTACCTCTCGGAGCTTCCTCATCAGCAGAATGAGGGTAAACTTAGTAGTTACCAATTAAATGGCAATTTAACGAGGCAATTTAAAGTATTTCCCACAGTGCTAGGTCCAGAGGGAGTGCTCAGTTGGCACCTGCTGATGAGACTAGTAATGACCACTGATAAGAAATGGGGGCTACCTGAGCTGCAGGGTTGGCGAGCAGGGGTGGGGCTGGGGGCAGCAGAGGCTGAGGCGGGGCAATTTAAATACTTCCAAATACCAGATGCTAAGGATTCAGAAGGAAATTAACTAGGTCTCTGCCCTTGAGGAGCTGCATCCAGTGTTCATGAGTGAAACAGCCACATACAGTACACTCTATAAAAATATAAGGTGGGCTATAAGGTGAGCCAGGAGTCATGGAGACGGGGGGGGGGGGGGGGGGTTTCCATCACCATTTGCTGAATGAACTGCTTTCCCCATTAAATTACCTTTGCATACTTGCCCCCCACCCCAAAACTTCACTGACCATATAAGAGGGTCTATTTCCGAAGTCTCTTCTTTGTTTCAATGGTCTATATGTCTATCCTTATGACAATAACTACTGTTTTCATTTATGTAGCTTCTTAACGCAAATCAGGTATTGTGAGTCTCCAACTCAGCTGTCCTTCTAATTATGTACTTTTACAGTAGTCTCAAGATTAGTGATTCCTTTTAGGTTTTATGATGTCAAAGCTGTTTTCACAATAATGTCACGTTATTTGCCTTTTTCGCTACATTGACATTTGCACTGATGGTACCAACAACGGGGGGGGGGGGGGGGGGGGGGAGGGGGCTTCCGTCCTAAACCCAGGGGAGCAGGGGGAAGGCTGTTCACATGGTCAGCGGCCGTAGACTTAAAGCCGTTAACCCCCTGCAATCTTCTGGCTGTGCTGTTCAAAGATGGAATGCCCAGGAAAAGACCTTGGCCCACAGATAAAACTCAGGGGTATAAGTCTAAGGGGCTGAGATGAGACAACCAGAGGTCAGTCTGTTTCAAGGATCAGGCAGGAAGGAATGGAATTTCAGGCAGAGTTATCCCATATTATTACGACTACAGTTGTTGAATATTGAAACTCACTCTCTCAAGATCCAGCCCCTTGCCACTCCTTCTTGTACGACCTCAAGAACATCTGGCACTTCGTCCTCTTCCTGGAAGGGCTAATGCCCCCCAAGGCTGTACATTCACAAGAGGCAGATGGAGTCAATACTCTTTGGGGATGGGGATGGGGGTGGGTCACTATTACCCTCTATCACCACCTCTCCTGCTTCCCTACCCTCTGTCCAAACCCAGGTTCTGCCTCCTTTAAGACAAACCCACCCCTCACTCTTAGTTTTAGAGGGTCTGACAGTTAACAGTGTTCCAGAGTCCTTCTTGGCGCCAACAGCTTCCTAGACCCTGCCTCCTTCTGGTCCATCTTCTAGGCCTCTCCTTCATGCGCCCCTTTCCATCCCGCTCATGTTCCCAGAGGAAGGTCTTCATCCCTGGACGATGGAGTTCCAAGTGGGGTGGGTGGGTAGAAACATGTGCTACTCATGCCTTCAGGATGTGAAGAGAAGGGGCTGTGCACCTGTGTGCACACCAAGGCCCGTAAGCTGACCCTTCTGCTTCTCAGAGGCCAGCTGATTGGCCAATCGGCAGATGAAGAAAATTGCCTAACTCAGAGTTTTAAGCATCTCATATGATATTAAAGATAATTGGAAAGATGATGAATGCTAAAACAATTAACAAGAGTCTTTCTTTCCTTTATTGCCTTTTCACTTCAAATTAAGTTGGTTTGATTAAACTGGCTTTCTCAATTTAATGTTTTAAAATAATGTGAACTAGCAAATATATATTTATCAGTTTCAGCTCAAAGTTGGGACAATCTAAGAAATAGTCAGTGATCCAAGTGGAAAGAAATTAGTTTTATTTTGTTTTTCCTTAGGATCTCATGGAAAAACACCAAATCAAGTCAAACCATTCTTACAATTTCTTTCTCTCCCTCTCTCTCCATGGCTCACGGCAATATGATTAGCTCTGCCAATGACTAGCTGAGTGACTTTGGGCAAGTTGTTTGATTTCTCTGAGTCTTAATTTTCTCATATGGCTTTGGATTTAATGAGGTATAGGGTCACCTTCAGCTCCAAAATTATTATTTTTTAAATAAATGTCACGTTTTTCCAGCCAGGCCTTTCCTCCCACAGTTAGCAGGTTCTGTCATGTGCTCTGAGTGAAGATCTGCTTGCCTTCACAGGACCAGGCTGTGATCCACTCACCCACATGTAGGAGCTGCTTTGCAAACCGTCTTCACGTCAGCTCTCCAGGAAGAAAAGACACAGAAATCAAACAAGCCACAGAAAATTGCTGTAGCTCTTTGGCTGGCCTCAATGCACCTGATTCTTAAAAAAAAAAAATCCCAACTTCCTTCAGTACTTTTTGGAAAGAGTACAGTTGTTATTGTTTTGTTGTGCTTTTCACTCCAAATGCAGAAAACTCTGCTGCAATGGGTAGCATTGAATCTATAAACAAAGCTCTTTCAAAGCAACTTTTGTAGCAGAAGTTAA